GCCAATGTTTGGAATCCTTTAACTCCTCGCAGTTCTCACACCACAGCTGAGCCCGTGCGTGCGGCTGTGACTGGGAGCGGCCCTCCCCAGCTCAGCTAAAAGGGGGCAGCGAGGGGCAGGAGGGCCAGGGCGGCGAGGGAGTGGCTCTTCCTTCTGGGCACTGTCCCCAGGAGTTCCCTGAAGCCCTGCCACTGCCCTGACCCCAGTTAACACGCCCTCTAATTGCTGGGGTTGCAGAGAACCAGAAAGCCCGAGGAGCAAAAGAGCCAGAGTTAATTAAGGAGAGAAAAAAACCACCCTGCTTCTCTGTTTTTCATTTCCCTCCTCCCCACGGGCGATGGGTTGGGCGTCTAGTTTCAGAGAAGCTCCCGAGGCAGGCATCTCCACGCCGGGAGCCAAAACCAACAACAGCACATGGAAATTACTGAACAGGAGCAGCTGGAACCAGAGGGCTCCTAAGAGTCTTGCTCCACAGCTCTCCAAGCTCCAGATTTCCCAGAGGGATGGCCAAGGGGTCCGCTCCCCCCGCCACCCCGCCCAGACCTAAAGGAAAGCCTCACATTCTCAGGGGGCGATGGGCTTTCTGTAGGCTAAACAATAATAATGCGACGCAAGCATCTGACAAATATAACTTCATCAAATCTCACAACGACCCCAATGAGGTAGGTACTGTTCTTATCCTCACTTTGTCAATGGGGAGAGTGAGGCTTAGGTAAGTACTTACCCAAGGTCAGCAAGCTAGCAAACAGCAGAGGGCTGACTCAGAGCCCTGGCATCCCGACTCCAAACCCTGTGCATTGACTCCCTACCATGCTGAGGGGCTCAGGTGTTCTAGGGCACCAGAAGCAGCCTGCTGGAGCTTACAACCTGACAGGAGGTCTGAGCCAAGGGTCCTTGAGGTTTTCATGAGGTCCATGGACTGCCCCTCCCCCAAGATAAAACGCACGGCTTGATGTGTTTGTATGTGCATGCACTTTTCAGGGTGCGAGGGGGATGTCCAAGTTCTCTTTTGATTATCAAAGGGGTCTGGGACCCAAAAGGAGGCTAAGAACCATGGCCCAATAAGGTTTGCCAGGTTGACTCTAGAACACAGACCACCTTCTGATTGGAGTCCTCTATTGTTTCACTTCACCTCCTTGCTTTGAAGAAACAGCCAAGAGGGCAGGCAGCCTGAATTTCTCCAGAAAGGGAGGATGTGCTGGAAGTTTAGAATTTGACAACTTGGCACTAAAAACCCACCCAGCCTGCTTGGGCAAGAGGATGTGGGGGGGGCGGGGGGATGTGCAGGGGGGCTGTACCAGTAGATACACTGTGGGGGAGGGGAGGGAAAGGGTTAACAGCTGGGCCCTACAGGATCAAAGGGATTTCCTACAGTGTTCATTACTTCTCTGCATCACTTAAAAACAAGTTCCAACACTGTCCCAATTCTGATCCTGGATTTTGCTGGGATCCACATAGCGAGACGTTCTTTACCAGAACCCCCAAGTGATCAGCAATTAGCAGGGTGGGAAAGTTTCTCTTCCAAACGAATTTGCTACATGTTTAAAGACCACTGTCTGTCTTAAAACAAAGGTATCCTTTAACTGGGGCCACCGTCCTCATTTTCAGAGGCTCCAAGACAGCAAACAATAGCGACAGTGCTGCTGCCCGCATCTGACAGCCGGATTGTCGAGCGCGCACTCTGTGCGCTGGGCTCCGTGCTGTACCCACGTTTATCTCAAAATCCTCATCTCGGCTAGGAGGTAGGGGCATTGTCATCTCCGACTTCCAGATGACAAAATGAAGGCTCAGAGAAGTCAAGCAGCTGCCCAAGAACACACGGCAAGTAAGCGACAGAGCCAGGCTTCAAGCCCAGGTCTACCTGATCCCAAAAGATGGGGTTCTAGATCACAGCCACAAAGAGCGGGTTCACGGACCATCCACACAGCATGTAGAACTCTTCTAGCAACTTGACATTGCTATGGCATCTGAGCACGTGGTCACGGACTGGCTTCCTCTTCGAACAGGGTATGCACAGGCCAGTTCAGTCACTGCCACCCTTGTGCAGGCTGCTCATGCTCACTGGGACCACGTATGAAAATTCATCCCCAATGAATGAAAAACAACAACGACCTGTCTTTCATTCACGTCAGGCAGTTTGAGAAGGATTCTGCAGAGACGGGGGCCTACGTGACACTCAGACGAGGCCTCCAGCATGCAGTTTTCTAGCCCAGAGCTTCTCAGACTTGAATGTGCACACAAACCACCGGGGATTTTGTTAAGATGCAGGCTGCCATGGGCCCGAGACCCATTTCTAACCCGGTGAGGTCAGTATGGCTGGTCTGGGATCCGACTACGAGGAGCAAGGCTCTAATTGGACAAAGGCACTGGGGCAGATGAGGCCAGAAACGCCGCCTGCCAAGGCCTGCCAGAGCCCAGCAAAGGGCCCAAGAGCACGCTCACCACTCGGGACTGGCTGTGAGGAGGGCGGAAGGCCTTGCAACACACCTTTCCCCACTCCAGCCTGAGCCTGGGATACCCAAGGGCCCTTTTTTCCTGAGGTGAAGAAACTGAAGCCCCTCTGTCCCAAGGGCTTGACAGAAGGCCGAGAAGAGCAGCTCAGAAGCCTTTGCAAACATTCAGAGGAATCTCCCTACAGCCAGACCCAAGCAGCAGCGATGTTCTGTGCACCGGCCTTGACTGCTCGCGCCAGACTGCAGCGGGACCTTGGACAGTGATGCCCTGGGAGGATTACCGCACACACGTGTTGGCCCTGCACTTCTTACCTCTTAATAAAGGAGTGCTAAAAAAATCTAACTAAGCGCTAGAAACCTCTGAGGAAGGCGCGTAATGTGGGTCACTCCAGGAGGGCATAAACGGCCCCTTGGTGGCCATTCCCGCAGCCAGAAAGGGCCCCGGGCAGCTCACCTCCAAAGGGAACAGTCCCTGCTTCCCTCGGGGAACCCTCAGGTTACCTGTCCTGTTCCCTGGACATTCTTGACAGTAGAGACCTTCCTCCTTATTACCCATCTGTCTCTCCTAACTTATTGGCACAAGGACTGAAGGACTATGTACGTAATAAAGAGGCAATTCCCAGTAAAAGCTCCTGTTCATTCAGGGGGTTCACTCAGCCATTCATTTATGGAGCAAGTGCCACCTGCCAGGCACCATCAGGAAGTGGGCATACAGCCTGGACTCATAAGCCCAGGGCCCTTTCCTCGCCCTCCTCTGAGAAGCAGGGAAAACACGATAGAAGAGGCCAGAGAGCTGTTAACTAAGGCAAAGGGCACTGCCTATTCCTGGAGCCCAAGGGCAAGTGAGTGCACATAGGCACTGACTCAGGGAAAGTCGGCCCCAGGGTGAGAATGGGCGTTTGAAGTGGGTGGTACTTGACAGGGGCTCCTTCACTTGAGTCACACAAAGCGAAGAAAGGCCTGCGGGTTCCTGACGTACACAGACAGCAAGCACAGTCAGAGGGGCTTGACGGGATACCAGCCCACCTCCAGGGAGCACCAGCTGAGAACCTCCTCCATATCTCAGATGACTCCCATGAAACCACAACCCTTTCTCCTTTGCAAAAAACCAAATCACATGCTCCTACCTCCGAACCCCACCATGTGCTATTTCCCTCCATGATGAGCCCACCAGCTCCTCTCCACCCAACCATGCCCTTCCCTCTCCCAGAATTGTGTTTAAAACAAATCTCCAGGCACTAAAGCAGGGTTTCTCAACATCCAGGGCCTGATAATTCTCTGTCTTGGGGGTGTGTTGTTTATTGTTTAGCATCATCCCTGGCCCCTACCCAAAAAATGCCAGTCGCACCACCATGCTCAGCTGTGACAACCAAAAATGTCTCCAGACACTGCCAGCGTCTCCAGGGGGACAAAATCATCCCCGTTTGGGGAGCACTGCGCTAGCGGGATGGCCCACAACCCTGGCTGCACCTGAGAAATACCTGGGGAGCTTGTAAAACTCACCCAGCCTGGGCCCCACACACATTCTGATTCTGGTCTAAATGCCATAAGTAAACAAGAATGTCACTTTAGAAGCCCTTAATGTTCCTTTAATGTGTTGGCTGGGTCACCCCAGAAGCATGAGCTATAGCTTCTTTCCTTCCTCTCTCCACAAAGTTCCAGGCAGAGCTCCAGGAGGTTCCTCCTGTTTTATGCTAATCAGGAAAGTTTGGAAAGTGAGTGAGCCTCCTTCACCCCTACATCAGATGAAGAAACCACTTTTTAAAATAGCCCCAATTCAACAGCATATGACAAGGAAGAATTTACAAACTTCCAGAGGAGGTGGAGGGAACAGAATGTAGCCACCTGATTTGGGTCCTGGTGACCCCCTTCAGGCTCTGCCTTGGGTGGAAGGAAGCTGTCGAGTGGCCAGGGTGCCAGCTCTGTATACTCAAGTTTCCAGCAGGCGTGAGGCTGGGGGTCAGCAGCAGAGGTAGAAACTCCCGTCTACCAGACGGAACGCTGCTGGTCCCGTCAAGCTGACAGCGATTTGAGAATCAGCTCCTTTCTGAGCCGGAAAGTCTAGGATCTTTTCCCACACCTTCCTTACAAATCCCCAGGAGGATCTGGAGAGCTGACTGAGAAGGGCCTGGCCAGTGTTACCAGATGTAGTCAGGCCCCACCAGCCACCTCTCCAGACAAAGACAAAGAGGAATGCAATTTCAAGGGGGAAGAGCTGGTTATTAATCTCTATCATCTTCCCTAAGAAGTGGAAACACACTCAGCGCTCACTCATTCAGGAACAAACACAGAGCGAATACCTTCTGAGTGATCTAAGTGCTCAGAGAGAGAGTGGCCATGCCATCCTTCCTGAGGTTTATACTTGAGTCAGCTCAAAGATGGGAGGGGAATCCAGGGGCCACGCTCCCCCAAAGACAGCCGAGGCGATTCAAGCTCCCAGGTCAGCTTTCTCACTAAAATTCACTGGCTAACGTGTAAGAATGCAAATTGCCAATGTGGTTACATTACATTCAGTGAATGATTTAGAGTTTTTTTCTGAGATTTTACTTGCTTGATCTTCATTGCCAACAGGATGAGCAAGCTTTAGTGATCGGCTTCAGGTGGCCCTGGCCAGCTTGTTAAAATCTGTCGAGGGCGCTGAGGCCTTCCATTCTGAGGTGACCTGCGGGATAGAGAGTTTTTCCAAGCTTCCTCCCCTCCCTCTGTTACACACATACACACACCCGGTTGCCTAGAGACTGAACACATTCCTGATGCTTACTCTTCTTTTCATGCTCCAGAAGCTAGAGCTTTGGAAACGGGGCCTCCAGGAAGCATGCGGAGGCAGGGGAGAGTAGGGGAACCCAGAGTGGCATTTCCTCACACAGGCCCGCCCCTCCCCACTGCCCCCGCCCCTCTCTCCCCAGATTTGAAAGCCCCAGCAGGCTGGCACTGAAGGGCTCCCACAGGGAACAAGGCCCCCTTTGAAAGCTGTGTTTACCCCAACCCAGGGCTGGGGTTGCCATGGCCACGGGCCACCTTAGCAGCCCAGAGCAGGCCTCAGGCCAGGAACTCGCCCTGACCTCCTTCTAGGGGACCCTACTGCTCCCCAACACCCCTTTCCTGAGCCCCCACGGCTGCTAAAAATGCTGATTTTCTTTTTTTATTATGTCCTTTATTTTATTTTTAAATTTTATTTATTGAATTTATTGGGGTGACATTGGTTAATAAAATTATATAGGTTTCAGGTGGACAGTTCTATAATCCATCATCTGTATACTGTATTGCTGGAAATGCTGATTTTCATCAAGTCCTCGGCTGAAAACAGAATCCTGAAGGGAACCACGGAGGATGAAAGCTCCTCCCAGACAATCCAAGCGGCTCCCCTGAAAAGGGCCAGCGCCTTGGCCTGCCTGCTGCCTGTGGGCTGGGGAGAGGTGGCCCAGCCCGGCTACACCCGCCTCCCGCTGCCCTGCCCCCTTGTCCTCCGACCCCTCCGGCTGCTAATGGCGATGACTTATTTATGTAATTCATTATCGCCTCATCCGGGAGCCAAGCAGGGCCAGTGAGACCTCAGCGGTGGAGGGAGGGCAGGAGGAGCCGTCCTAGGGCTGCGGGCAGCCACCACCCTGTGGCCCAAGGACAAAGGCAGAGGACCAGGCCTGACAGCGTCTCCCTGGCCCGGGAACTTCAACCCTCGCCAGTCCCGCATTCCTCCATTGTCCCTTCCCCAGAAGCCAGAGGGAGCCGAGCCTCTAAATAATTCAGCCCTCAAATTGCTCTGTGGTCAGGAAGGTTCCTTCATTTATTTTTTAACTCTCCAGGCTCTGCAGTTTCACAACGGAAAGTACTTGAATCCCAAACCTGGACCTGGTTTTAGCCCAGGACCGAAGTGAAGGAGCCACTAAACTTCTAGATTTCTACAGTCATCCGGTTTCAACAAATTGCTGGGCCCCACCCACGGTGGCTAGGAAGCAGGGGGGGAGGCAGAGGAGGGGGCGCAGGCACTCCAGGGGCTCTGTCTGCACCAGGTTGCACCTCTTAGTGCTGGCAGAACTGAATGAATAGAAAGACCCCAGGACAGCCTGCAAGACTTGCCTCTGTCAGCAGTCTCCCCACCTCCGGCCTCCTAGCCTCTCTCAGGCCTCTTCTTGCACCACCACCCACCCCTATCCAGCCCTCATGTTCATTCTAACTCTTATGGGGCCTGGGCACACACAGCCGTAGGGCCCTGTAATTGGCCGGCTTTGCCTTTTATTAATAATCTGATGACCAATTAGTTGATATTTTATTGAGCACTCCTTTCATGTAATCCTCACAATAACCATATGAGGTAGGTACTACAAATACCCGCATTTCACAAGTGAGGGAACCGAGACGCAAGGAAGTTAAGAAATTTCCCCAGGTCGTTCACCTAGGAAGTGAAGAACAAGGTCTCAGGCCCAGCTGTCTAATTCCAGACTCCATGCCTCAATCCCCACATTACACGGACATATGCACATGCTGCACACACAGAATCTTCAAAGAGCAGAACTAACTAAGCACAGAGAGGTAGAGTGACTTGCCCATATTCACACAGCCAGCTGGGGCAGCCAGTTGGACAGGGATCAAAGTGCCATAATCAGGGCTAACATCCTTTTCATATCACGCAGTTTCAACTACAGAAGCGTCCATATGTGCCCACGTGAGAGCAGACTCTAGGTACTCTCTGTTTTGCACCATAATGGTCTAATGGCCTGTAAACCTAGCTTGACCACTGGCAATGCTCCATGCTGGTCCAGCCCCCCCTTTCCTCTCTCTCAGATCCCTGCTCCATGACCTTCCAACAAACAGCTCCCCTGCCTCCGCCAAGACTTATAAATTCTCTCACACAGCATTAGAATCTCTCCCATCCCCCTTCAGGGCAGTGCAACCCCCAAGATTCATAACAAGAAACCCCATACCACCACACCAGCTCGCATTTATGCAGCACTTTACGGTTCTCAAAGCTTTCTTGCAGATAGTATAGTAGTGACTCTAGGTCAGCTTGGCACCTTTTTGAGGGCTGCCTGCAGCCCCATTCACAGGGAAGGCCCCCCCAAGCCTCAGAGGTGCTGTCCTCCAGGATACAGTTGATTGGACCAGCGGGAGACCGCTCACACAGATGGGCCAATCAGATTCTTTCCCCAGGAATTTGAATCAACGTTCTGAGATACACTCAGTCTGGAATGAGGCAGGTATAGCTGGAAGCTGATCACCATGCTATCCGGCACACGTGGACAGAAGCAGCGGCACTCTCCGGCTCTAGGCACTTAGGAGGTCAGCCATATTTCTGCCCTTGATTCTTCCATTCCCCTGTGGCTTCAAATAGCTCAAGTTGGTTTCTGTTACTTGCAATCAGTTGAATCTGAACTAAAAGATGGGTTGGATTATGATCCTCCTTTTAGAGCTGAGGAAAGAGGCTCACAGAGGTGAAGGGACTACATGAATGTCACATGGCCAACATGTCATAAAGGAGAGCATAATCCCTGCTATGTGGCTCTCCTTCAGTGCCATCCCAGGCCGGCTTCCCCTGGTTAAAGGGAAGTGGCAGGTGTTCCCTTCCTGCAAGTGTGAAAAGGTGGTAACTGAGGATCAATGATTAGGTCAGAGGTACTCCAAGAGACTAAAGCCAGGGACAGAAATACAAAACCCTTCCCATGAAGATAGCCCTTTGCCCGCCCCGCTACATTTCCCAGTCTCCCTTGCAGTTAGGTTGGAGCCATGTGACTAGTTCTGGCCAATGAAATGGAAGTGACAGCTGTTGGTTCCTCGCCAAGACAGTCAAAAGCCAGGGGCTGCCTTCATCTCTCTCTTCCCCTCTTGTGGTAACCCTTGAAGGCCCATATTCCAGATGGTGTGGCTACAGGTGGAGAAGGACGGCCTAACCCACATCAGACCTTCCACGAGTGCAAATTTAATCTAGATTGTGTCAAGCCACTGGGATGTTAGGATTTGACCATTAACAGCATCGTCTAGCCCAGCCGTGGGCAAACTATGGCCCGCGGGCCAGATCCGGCCCGTTTGAAATGAATAAAACTAAAAAAAAAAAAAAGACCGTACCCTTTTATGTAATGATGTTTACTTTGAATTTATATTAGTTCACACAAACACTCCATCCATGCTTTTGTTCCGGCCCTCCGGTCCAGTTTAAGAACCCATTGTGGCCCTCGAGTCAAAAAGTTTGCCCACCCCTGGTAGCCTCTCCTGACTGAAGCGGACTGATTATTCAACCTGGGCCCTTCAGCACATTGCTCTGGTTTGCAGGATGCTACATTTATTTGTTCAAAATTCATCTAGCAAATATTTCTAGAGCACCAATGTCAGATGCTGTAATGGGTACAGCCAAGAGCACAAGAGTAAAGAAGACCCAATCCCTCCCCATAAGAAGCTCCCTATCTGATGACCCCCAGGCACCGCTTTAGGACTAAAAGGTACATTGTACAGGTGTGAAGGCAGGACCTCCCACCCTGCCACTGGCTGAACTGAGCCTGGAGGAAAGGTAAGCTGCCAGGAGGCAAAGACCGTTTGTCCCAGCGACTCCAGGAGGGTGGCAGCCAAGAGTGCATTCATACCAACCAGGCTTTCACACCCTGGGCTCGACCAGCTCCCCTCCTGCCAGCTTCGTGGCCACACACAAGTGTTTCCCTTGCCCTGGGCACAGAACAGAGGAGAGAAGGCATCAAGGAGGGGTCATCAAGACAGCAAGTAGCTGTAGAAATAGAAAGCAAAAGATACAACTCAGCTGCCCTCATCTTCCTCTGCAGCAGAAGTCTCCCCTCTGGAAATCACCCCTCCACTTCATTTATTTTAGCCTCAAAAGTCCCCCACAACTGAGCTTTACTCCTCTTACCCCCCATAGTTAAGGACCAACCAGAGAAATCATCAGTCTGTCATGAACTGGTGTCTCGCTATACCCTCCTGTAGGCACAAGAAGTCACCATATACAGTTGTGTGGGCTGTTCACTGTACAAGGTGCCCATCCAAAGGGGTGAATGTCTGGATCCAGCCTATGCTCTGCTTACCAAGCTCTGCACCCGGGGGAAAGGGTCCCTTTTAATTCAAACAAAGATGTCTGCTCTATGCTGTTGCCATAGAAACACTGGAGCTGGAGCTTCCCCATAAGAAGTGAAGTTTGAGGGTGGGTGCCTGGGGATTTGCTATACTAACCTCTCTACTTTCATGTATGTTTGAACATTTTCACGAATAACAGGTTAAATAAAAAAGAAATGAAATGTTACTCGGGTGAGTTATAGGTGGTCCTCTAAGAACACTGTCATTTTATTCAATGTTTCGTTATAACGTTGATGAGATGCCAGAGGAACTTAACCCTATATCAATTAGCCCAGTGGTCGGCAAACTCATTAGTCAACAGAGCCAAATAGCAACAATACTTCTTCAAAATAGACTCGCCCAGGCCGAAAACCAACTTCTGCGCATGGGCCACGAAGTTTCAATCGCACTGTATGTGCGCGTCCGCACGTGGTATTTTGTGGAAGAGCCACACTCAAGGGGCCAAAGAGCCGCATGTGGCTCACGAGCCGCAGTTTGCCGACCACTGAATTAG